CCTCGCGTTTGCTCAAAAAATACGAACAAAATCACTTGATCAATGCCGAGGTTAATAGAAAGTCGGTCGTGGCAGTTACAATTTGTAGAATAATTTCACTACAGTTATTACTCTGTACGGTTATTTAGTAAGAGGTGTTGTCCATATTGGCACACCTACGTCTTATCCTACCACTTTAATGGATTTTTAAGGGTGGATACCGCCCTCGCCGTGTTTCGATTTCTCAGTACGAGCAACTGAGTGCTGCTGCCGCCGAGGGACTGAGGAGAGAAGTTTGTTTTAACTAACACTAGTGGGCGAGGGTACATTATCCAGAGCACTATCTTGATGACTTTTGTCCATCTTTTAAAAGAATTTTTCAGGGTTCAAGAACACCTGGAAACATGTCTCTGAAAGTTTCTCAGCCTTTAAGAACAAGGACACCTGCTTTAACATTGTCAAAGGCGGAGGTAATGCAGCGTTCATTCTATTGCCTCACTTTTACCTTACAAGTACTTACACCTTACTACTCACAGCATATTGCTTTTCAACCTTCAACTGTTGGAATGTCTCCTCCTTTATGCTCCCCGTCTCGCAGCTACGATTCTGCTCTGATGTCACATCATACTAAAAATCTTTCTTCACCACCATCAGCCATGCAGTCGACGCGTTCTCGTTCAATGTATTCTGTGGGCTCTGGAAAGGAATGTACCACCATTTCGACGTCTTGTTCTTTGAATTCACCTCCAACGACAATATACATTTCTACTTCACATGAGAAACTGCGTTCTCCTCAGCGATTGGTATCCTCACCGGTTTGTTTCAGTTTTTTCTTTCTTTAATTTTCTTTCTCGCTTATGACCATTATATTCCACTCCAGTCTTTTGCGTAGAATTCTTAACTCGAAAAAGTTGCAAAAAGAAGGGAATTTTCTTGCAGATTTGTTGTTTTATCAATCAATGAGCCATTTGTTGTTTACCTAAAACAGTTTTCCTTATGTTTTTTTAATAAGTCCTACTATTTCGTTCGTTTAGCCTTCATCGGAGGAAATTTCCAACAATTTCGAAATCTGTTCGCGATCCAGAATATCGCCCGTTCGTCACAGTTAGTTTTCCAACGAAAAGCATTCGCTTGCCTCTAGAATAGCTTTGATTTAAATTGATTCCACTTTCGTTAATTATTGTGCTATCAGTTCAGGTCTATTTCACTCTTTTATTGTAAAAAGACGTATCAAGGACTCTCTGTCTATGACGTGTAACGAGTCGCCTGCTAAAGAGAAGAAGAAAGCGTTACGATGTAGGTATCATCTGTATCTTCGGAAAAGGAACACGTCAATTTCTGCCAATTATGTCCTTATTCAGCGTTGTTGATGAAAGAGCTAACATCGTTAGAAGAAAGTGGAGGAGCGAGATCCCTTACAAATGTCCATTGCGCTGTTGAGCTTCAGTCCAAATTTGCCACTTCTGGATTGGCAACTACAGACGGACACCTAAGAAAAACAATTATCTTGGTAAAACATTCATGCCTACACTCAGAAATGTACACGGAGGAGGTCGAAGTAAAGAATGAAAGTGGTAAGTTGTAAGTTGTCATATCATTATTGATTCGTGTGAAAAGAATTCCATTTGTGTTGCAGAAAATAGTACTGCTTGCCTTGTTACTCCGCACTATGAATCAGATGCAGAGCCTTCTGGATCAGTGACACCGCTGAGAACTGATGGAGAGGGTAGGTACTTTCATTTAGGATATTGGCTGGGAGAGCAAATGGGATGTTTAATTTTGCTGTTTGTCTGATCAGCATGGCACGTTTAACGTATGAACGTGGGTTATTTAAAGCTGACTCCTTGGAGGGATAGAAATTGATACGATTTGGAATTAAATATATTTCAGACAACGACAAATTGTCCACTTCGGACAATCAATCAGGTGGTGGTGGGCGTATGATGTCGCCAGGTCGTGGCCGAGGAAACAAACGAAAACGGTTAGCTTTTTCTTCCTTACTATTCGTAACACGTTATGGTATAGTAGCATACGAAAGTTTTTGTCGAGCAGCCTTTTCGTCAATCCTATGGAGTTCTATACCTCCACAGTGGTTTTCGCTATAGTAAGGAGACTGGTGACCAACGTGCAGTGAAAATCGTCTACTTTTGAGGGCTGCGTACAACAGACACAGTATCATGGTTATTGATCGCAAGTACATTCGGTCAAAAGTTACTGGAAAAGATGAACGGAAAGACGATGACTCCTATGGCGAGGAAGAGGAGGAAGAGGGTTAGTGTTTAGCTTATGTTCTTTTCTGTTCTTTCTCTATTGTTTATCATTCAGCCTCTTTTCCTCATCTCTTCCATTCAATTTTCTTGTCAACCGATTCTGTGAGCTCCAATTTGCGGTCGCTTTGATGGCGCTTTCAAATGTTTCCTTCTCTCAAAAAAAAAAACCATTTATAGAAGGTTATGGGTCAATTCTTTGCATTTACTGTTAGTAGAGCAAGCTTTTCATAACCAGATAATGCTGCTAAGTCAGTGACAATAGCTGTCTAAAACTTAGATTCTTTCGGTTTTTGTGTCAGATAACTTGAGTTAACTTGACGACTTTGTGTAAAAGAATGGCGAACTATCGGCAATCTTTAACTAAACGCTAACTAAGACCGCAAAATCTGCTCTGTTTAGTTATCCAACAATTATCGAAGACATGGTAAGTCAGACACGTAGGCAACACAGATGGCAACTACTGAGTAGACTCCGTTCCAAAAACGTTCAAAATATATTAAGCTGCTGTTTATGTTCATGTCAGACCACATCAAAATGGTTGTAGTCTATTATCATAGTTGGTACAATGGAATGTAGGACTTCGTGTCAGTCTTCGGCACAGATTAATTACTAACTCGAAGTAAAATGCTCGATTCTGTATGAGTGCGCCATGCAAGACTTTTTGACGTATGCACGGACAACAATTTTAAGCCTGGGTCATAACTGTTTATACCAATAACAACAATACAATGTGCACAATCTGGCGATGGCTAGTTCATTGAACGGGCACAGGCGAAATTGAACTGAGGATAAGTGAAACAGTTGAAGGAAGCTGGGCAAACACTGGCATTGTGGAAGTAAGCACCGGAATGTCGAGACAGTGAAGCACTCGGGGCCGGAAACAGAGGTGTTCGGTTTGATAATTAGTAGTGGTCCTTATATTCCTTCTGTAATGGGTGGGGCTCCGACGGAAGGAACTAGAGACAGTGTTCAGAGGGATGTTCTAAAACTTTCTTGGCTGGTGCAATCTGATAGAGCTACTTGAATAAAAGGTTCGTGAGGTCTATACAGTAGCTTGTACAGAAAGTACATATGACAGCGATGTAGTGGCTTATATAAAAAGTTGATTGGAATGGCAGATGCTGGAAAGTACATGCAACGGACAGCTGCTCACTTAGTGCCCAAACTGTCGGATGAAGAAGAGCGGTTTATACAGAGAAGTTGCAGAATCCTTTTCCAGCCAGCTGCGAGGCAAGTACATGAGATGGTCGCTAAGATACAGTTTGCAGAAGATGCAAGGATAGGAAACATACGCTGGTATAGAAGATATGAACTATTTGAGGAATAATGTTATACCTTTTTATTTTCTGCCTACTATAATTTCGCGGCAGGGTACTAAGCGAAGTACAACCACAACGTTGCAAAAAATAAAAAGGTATGACATTGTGGTTTCAACTACAGTCGCAGCTTAACTGGGTTCTATGCCGATTTGGGCGCCCCAGATCAATCCCGCCGACTGGTGATTGCTGTGGCAAAGATCGATAGAAATAGCTGAGAGACAGGCGAAACAAAGGACCCGCATGGTGTGGTGGTGAACGCGTTACTCCCCGGAAAGGACAATAGCGCGTTCGTTCCCATCATAGACACCTGCGGTCTAGAGTTTTGCAAATATCTCAGCAACGTTGTGGTTGTATTTGAGGAATAGTTATTATAGGTATTACCTCAACGGCAAATTGGAAATGTGGTAATGTAACACGGTTCAAACGAAAAGTTCTCTGTTGTTGAAGGTTATCCCAGCTGACAGTTTTCTAGAAAGCTGATAAAAAAGGTAGTCAGTTGGCGAGAGATTCGGAGAATATGCTGGATAAGGTGGGGATTCATAGCTTGATTCGTTCAATTTCAACAGTTTAAATGTGCAACTTGTGATTGAGCGCTGTCTATGGCACTTTTTCTGTTGATATCAGACAGATACGTTGTAATTTTTCATACATTTAACTTTCGTGATCATGCTTTTTCTTATCTTTTCAACTGGATGGGAAAAGCTATGGAATATTTTGGTTGCCAACTAGCAAACGATTGTCACAAACAACCGCTTGTATAAGTACACATTATACATGTCTATATGCATATATATGGGCGGGTAGCACAGTGGTATTGATGCCGATCGTCATGAGCACAGTGCTGGTTCGTACATGCTCCTGGCTCACCAAGGTTCTCATTCCTTCGTGGTTGTGAAATTGGTACCAAACTTTTTCGAACAGTCCACCGCCTGCAATGCAAGTGGGAGTGCTCTAGCCTGGCTTTCTTAGGATGCCAGCGAGAGTCCACCCGATCATCATACAACGACGTTCATAAAGAAGTCGAAAATCCTCAACTTGCAGTCCAACTCACATGCGTGGGATGCGAGAAAACGGATTGAGTGCAAGAAGCGCTAGGATCCACAGAGCAATTGTGAAAACCGGTCATGTAGAATGAAAATTTGTATATGTATATATTTTTTTTGGAAAAAAATCATGCCGCAGCTTTCCAGTGCTTTCGTTACTGTTCTATCTCCTTCTGTACTCTCGCGATACTTGAACGAGTCGCGTTATCATGTGGATGTGGTCCATCGTACTGAACCCTTTTCGAAACCGAGCTTGTTCATATGGTTATCGTTCGTCTGATGTTCTATCAATCCTGTTCGGGGTTAGTCGGATGAAAAGTTTGTAGACGATGGACTGTCAGCAGTTTGGGCGATAGTTGCCGTTATCAGCCTTCTTGAACAAAAGTCTAGTCTTACTGGTATTCCTTTTAACAGGGACCTTCGATGTTGACAGGTAACGTGTGAAGATCAGGGCCAGTGTGTTTATGAGGACTGGCGGGATGTTAACATCTTATGCTTTCCGCACCTGCTGGTGTTGTTCGATTCTCAGCAGAAGAAATATCATGTAGGATTTCGAAAGCGAGAACCGAAGGAGCGATATATCCGCCCTCCGTTATTTCGTATGAGAGCGGGAGGACTTGGCCATTGGAAAGATCCGAGCAGTATTCGTAACTGGTTTTCTCCATGGCCTTTCTGGAAGGTGTAACTGTTCCGTCTGCGTGTCGGGCTGTAATTGTCTTCTCTTGTATTCTTACGAACTGCTTTTATTGAGCTGCGAATGCTTTTCTAAGCCTCTGAAGCTTCGACCATAACTGCTGCTCTTCTCTCTTTGAGATCTCTATCCTCACTGTTTTACAAGTTCGGACGTAAGTTCACGATTGCCTGCAGCACGTGCGATTCCATATACGTGCGTGCGCTGGCGTATCTGTTCAAGTGTTTCTAGAGACAGACGTTTCTTGATGACTAGAACTCTCAGCTTTCAAAGCACTGGCATGAAGATGTTGAATGAACCGACCATATTATTTGTCGATGTTATCGAAAAAGGCATCTTTTCTATAGCCAGCTAATTATTTGAATAAACCGCGGTTTTTTTAGTTTTTTTTTTATGGTTTTTGGACTTCGTTTTCAAATTTGGCAGCTATTTCTCCTTTCGTGAGAAATGAAATCATGAACGATGGAGGCGATGCTTTGATCCATTATGGAATTTTGGGATAACAGCGACATCGGTAAGGCAAAAGCTTCCGTTTACAATGATGTTGCCTGTTTCATAATAGTACTCTCCACTAGAAGTTTCCCACGTCCAGCGCTGTGGGTGGTGCTTCTGGAATTGCGAGTTACGATGAATAGTTTTGGTCATCATGGTAAACTCGTACAGTCGCTGACTTTGGGAGTTCAAATGCGTATTTCCCAATGTGACGCTGTAAGGACATTCTTCTGGGCTCAGTCATAGCGTTTAAATCTCCAGTGACCTTGAAGAATGTGTAATGTTCTCTGTAGATCTTTTTCAATTCCATACAGAACGATTCAATTTCGTCTTCGTCATAGCTTGATATTGGTGAGAGTAAACGACGAAGATTGTCAAACTCGGTATTGGCCCACATCTATAAAGTCGTTGACATTCGACTTGGGTTGTTATTTGTTCGAATGAGTCGATGTTCATGGCCAAACTAGTGTTAATGAGAATGCGCATCCTGCAGCTCCGAGGAACAGTTCTTCTCCGGTTCCGAAAATGACGTTAAATGGGCGGCGTCTTCTCGTTTCAACCAGTCCAATGACGTCGTACCCTATCCTTCTTGCCTGCTTGATCAGGTTCTCCATTGATGACTCAGATGCAAGTGAGCATGCACTGTAGGTACAGATCGTCAATTTTGTTATTTGCCAATTAGGCAGCCTAGAATGACTCCGAGATTTTAGTAGCCTCGGTGCTGTTACTACCCAGCACTGCCGTATCAGGAACTCTGTCGGGTCAGGGGAGGCCCATCTGTTTCGCTCTATTTTGTGTTTGATACCCACGTGTAACTTTTTGAGTTTTGAAAGTGAGGGCTGGTTACCTTCACAAATAACTTGCTAGTCTCTCGCATAGTAAACAGACGACGTTCGTTGGAGGTGCTAAAGTGTCCCCCCAGATAATTCCCTGTCACACGACTGCAGGTTTTTGGCCGAATCGACTCGCCGAATGCAATCCGCATAAACTAGACCACACCCAGGCATGCATGCATGAATATCTCTTCGTAAATACAAAAAGTATGTCCCAAATCGTTGCAGCAGAACCAGGAAGTCCATCCTCTGGATCCATCTGCCTCTCAGGGCATGCAAAGGTGCTCGTTTGCTCCGCGACTAGCCACGCATCCGCCACATGGCAATGCGCCACGTTGCTTTGTAATTAAGCATTAAGAGATAGTATGAGGAGTACGTTATATTTTGTTAACGTTAGCAATTAATATCGTTTAAGAAGCCGAAAATTTCCGGGTTGTCGAAAACATGGCAAAGATAGATAAGCTTCTTCGAGCAGGATACGTTGCAACTTGTATTGGTCTTTAACAGCTCGGATTTTTCACCTTCCGTTTTTCGTACATGACTTTTGTAGAAAAAAAAGCGTTTTTCGTGCGCGAAATCTACATTATTGACCAAAGCACATCGTAATGTACTAGATATTTTTAAGAAAAAGCTCAGGTAAAACCCAAAGATAATTGAAAACACGCTTTATTTTTAACCCTATTGGATCAACGCTTATGAAATAGAGCTTTAGTACACATTTTGATTAGCTGGCATTTTTCACTGTAGTAAACTTCGAGTAAAAATGAAGAGCGTTCCATTTGCCTAGGTGCTTATTTGAGGTTTTCTTATATCCGATGCATTTCGACGTATTTCAGTCAATAGTGTAGAAACTTTGCGTGCAGTGGTTAGTGATGCTGTCGATCAGAAACCAGAAACACTAGTTCGACCTCTCTCAAACTCTCCCTCGTCCAATCCACGTGTCAATGCCTTAACCAGACTACCTCCAAGGCTGCGAAGAGGATTTACTCAACCAGGATTCTACGATATTCACAAAGAAGACGAAATTCTCAAGCAGCCGAGGTAACACCCAAAATATTCTATGACCACTGTGGGCGGTTAATGCAAAGAAAACGGATCGACTGCAAGAAGTGCTTGGATCCGCGCAGTAGATGTGATGACGAATCGTATAAACGTGCCACGATGAGGTCTCGATTTTCTGAAAGCCACAGAGCACTTTTCTTGATTTTTTTCTCGTCGGAGTTACTTTAAATAGCGAACTGAGTTAACAAGCGTGATTTCTTCTACGTGACTCTACGATCTAACGTTCTTTTCATGTCCTTTGTTGATATCAGATTTTGAAAAACGTAGAAAATTCTTAGGTGTACAATTTTCCCTGGATTCTAGACCAACATAGGATAAGAGAAAAAAGAAGTTTTATATTTCCATAGAGCAGTTTGCCGAAGTTCCGGCTAGAAATCCTTTAAGTGTTTAGTTCACCCAAAATGCTCCAACTGTTGTTTAACTTAAAAAAAAAAAGAGAAAGCTCTCGACGTTGATCAATCCCTGATGGATGCGCCATACATTCGGCTTCAGTAAGCATCGTTAGAGCTGATTAAATGCATGATCTGCCCTACATATTCACCCGTGGTGTGTTACCGATGTATCGAATCAGTGCAGTTATTGTCCTAGACAGTTTTTATACCAATTTTCCGGCCCCGGAGGAATGAAAGACTTGGTGAACTGAAGAAGGGTAGGATCGATCTCATGTGTACTTCAAGGCGTCTTTAACCACTGCGCTTCATTCGCACCAAAACTTCGGTAGTTGCCGAAAAGTCTGCACTATGATTGTGTGAAAAGCTTTATGCTAACACATATTTTTCCATTATTTACGGATTTATCTTCTGTAGAATATCAATTATTGGGATGTATGTAAGGCATGTTCAACTTTTTCTAACTTTTTAAATACTACGTCTAATTAAGACTGAAACAGTTATTTTAGAATTAGGACAGTGATTATTTTGCTATCCTTTGAATAATTTTTCACCTAATATGCGTGCGAAGAAAATTTTGAAACTTCAAACTTATGATTAGGACCAACCACCTCGTTTCGTCTCTGCAATGAAATATAGCCTAGTTTTAATGTGGCGGAAAGTACTATAGTGGCTTTTGTTTATTGATCTTGACACATAATATAGTTTTACGTTTCAGCAACAAGGGACACTTTTATTTCAATGAAAAATAAAACGTATCGTCTCATGGAACAAGAACAATCTCTGGATAAGTTCGATCTGCTTGGTTTACCTCCCATTGGTGTGTTATATGTTATATTTTTTTAATTCCTTTGTTTACGGTGATAAATCAGTTTCTAGATGACTTGTCGTTCACTACGGATGACGCAATCGAAATCTTGGAAAAAAGACTAAGTGATCTTCGAGAAGTGTATCATCAGTCTAAGTTAGAATTGCTTCATATGGAAAAGCGAAGACGAAAGCGTGCAGAGAAAAAGAGTGAGTGAAATAGTTTGATTTCGTCTTGTTGCGTTCCTCAAATATTATACTTGCATAGCAGAATATCCACTTTATGTTTTAACCGTACATGACAGGATGAACAGTTAACCGTTTGAATGAAAGTACTAAACGGCTTTTACTGTAGAAACAGAACATGAACACCCTTAAGGGTAGGGTAGATACTTGTTTCACTGCCCAATGGTTTAGGTGGTGTAAAGTTTGCTCATTTCAGAAGAACGAGAACGCTTGTCTCGTGAACCAGTGACCGTAGAAAAGCAGCGGTGTGATCCGTAAAACTTGTTTTTTACTTTATTTCTACATTAGCCGTCATCACATCTATTGTGCAGATCCCACTACTTGTATTCGATTCGCTTTTCTCGCTTTTGTTGTGCGCGAACTTCTTCGAGTGTATCGCATGTGCTTCGGCTGCTGCTTGAAGAGTGTCATCTTCATGGGCGTCGTAGAATGCTGGTCGAGTCAATTCTCCTTGCAGTCTTGGAGATAACCGGATTAAGGTATACCCACATGGATTGGAAGAGAGTGTTGGCAGGGTTTCGAACCAACACTTTTCTTCTAGATAGGCTGTTTTACTGTTGTACTAACAACTGCGCTGCATCCTTCCTCCTTACTTGCCGCCCTCCTTCAATGTATGAGATAAGTCGGTCGTTATAGAAATGTACTAGGTATTCCCTACGACCGAGTTTCTGTTTCTGTTAGCCTTGGAATTGAGCAATAAGTGTTTTCTTCTTCCTTCAGCATACACAATGTTAATAACAAGATTTATTCAGTCCAATACTGTTTGGCGCTTTGGCGGATTTCGCTTTATTCAGACGCTGGGACGGTCATGTTCATTGCAGCTAATGCATCTTCACAACCTCGATGGAAAAACCACGACACCATTTGAATCGCATTAGAAACAAAACAGCTTCTTCACGTACTCACCCTTTTCTACTAGTCTTTCACCGAGAATTCCACATGGAGACCCACCGTACAAAGTTCACATGGATTGGTAATGTGCTTCTCTGGAGGTGTCTATAGCTGATATATCCATAAAGGTACCTCTTTCTGCCTACCAGACACCTCACATGTCGGTGTCTGAATGACTTGGCTGCAATTAACCTGAACTTTCCTGGTTCTGAAGAAGGCCAAATCTGCCGAAGCGTCAGCTCGTATTGTGTTGGAAATGTCTAGTTATTAGCAACCTCATGTCTGCTTAAGAAGAAAAAACATTGACTTGTTGTTCCAACTTCTTGATATTTCTATGAATTGCTTCTATACATTTATGATTGTGTCATGCTTATCTCTCCAATAACAATAATAATAATAATCTGTAATTTCACACCGGTGATTTTGCTGGATTAGATAGCTTCTTATTCTTACTCTTTCGCCTTCTACAATGTCGATCGTGTGACACGTAGTCAAACGTTGTATAATTGTAAAATGTTCCCTTTCCGACCCTCCGAATCACTAGCATTTCTATGCAATTTCGGGAAGTGTTCAAGTTCAGTGTTCAATCTCAAGCAGAATATCATCGGTTATATAGATTCTGTTTTTCACCACACCGTTCACAGCAATAAAAAATGGGATTGTTTTTGTTACGCAAAATGAACACAGAATGAACTAAATAGTAAAGATTTGTTTGTTTCTTCGTGCAATTCACGGGTTATCAATTTATAAAGGCTTTTTTGTTCTTCGTATCGGTTGGCGTGTTCGCACATCCCTCCTCTCCCGCAGTTGAAATAAACTGTCCACTCAGCAGTATAGTGTTCAAGGCGCATATCGCATATGGATTATAGATGAAGCTCGTTCATTAATGTCTTTCTCTATCAGTTGACTTTGATACTGCAATGGTTGGGATCGGCTCGCGTGACATTTCGCCTATGTGTGCGTTCTTTACGGACCTTTATTGCCGATTTTTACCGCCTGTGCCTGAATTGAACACCGTTGACGTAATGTTGATCCATAGATGAGAAAATGTAACAGTTGTTCATTAGTAGGGTCAGATCTTATGAATATCTCCTTCAGGTAGTACAGAATTTCAAACTAGATGATGCTTCGTCTAATGTAAATGTGATGGAGTGATTAGCAAATCTTGTTTAGGATCCGTAGTGCGGCAAGCAGAGTCAAATTACTGGTTTTCCCAACTTCAACGAGCCAAATGCCTTTTTTGGCGTGAAATTATTTCGGTGTCCGCAAATGATGGATGTGGACTAGAAATATATATAAAAAGCGGTCATGTGTCCAACCTGTGATCCTGGATATTTCTAGGACGATAAGATACATTGATAAGTAATTGAATTTTCGATGAATCTTAAACCGCATCAATAATCAAGAATATAGCGTGGAATGGAGCTAATTTTACAAGAAAGATCAACGAACAGATGATCAAACGAACTAATTTTACATGGATTCATTCAAACGTACATGACTTATATTAAGCACGCAACCTATAAAGAACGTTCTGGACAGAACAGCGAATTACAACCACAACGTTGCTGAGATATTTGCAAAACTCTGGACCGCAGGTGTCTATGGTGGGGAACGAACGCGCT